ATAGTGAAAACTAACCTTTGATGATGGGTTAGTAGACTAAAAGCTTTAGGAATCCAAAGTACAACATATAATAAGTACCCTGTATCAAGATTGATGCAAAACAAGGAATATTTGACCTTTTTAGACAGATTTAGCAAACAAAACCTCTTCTGGGGCCATTTGGGTGGATTTTCCTTATCTCTGGCCCCCCTTCTTCGATTTTGACACGTGACATCTCTTTCTGACCGTAACGGCCCCTACACACGGCGGCGTGCGTTGCCGCTTCAACGCTTCTGCCCATTCACTTTGAATGGGGTGACGTCATGATTCGCCGAACTGCATTGTGGGAGCAAAGCGTAGCTTCTCTCGCGGTGCTCGCTGCAAAAGTAGAGCAATGTTCTACTTTTGCCGCCTCGACGGCGGCGTCAGCCAATCAAATCCCGCGTATGCAAATCTGACAGTACAAGCGCTAGCCAATCAAACCGCGTGTATGTTGGGAGAGCCAGACCGCAGTTATTTCCCATATGTCAAAAAATGGAGGAGAAAATTATCGTGGCGGTAGGGAATCACCCGGTACTATATGACCAGTCCCTCTTTACATACAGGGATACAAACCGGAGGAGCCAGGCATGGGGGGAGGTGGCAGAGACAGTGGGTGAAACTGGTAGGTTTTCACCTGTTTGGGGAGTTTATATCCAGTGTACTTCGTTTGAATGGACAGCTAGCAAGCATAGACAGTATATTTAGCCAGCATGGATGTAGCATGAGCTTTGCTTTGTATGTCCGGGGCGGGACATTCATATGATTGGTTGTTGGTCGCGTTAATCGTGTTGACTCCCCAAGGTCAAGACACGCCCACCGCCAAGCGGTAACGCACGCCGCCGTGTGTAGGCTCCGTTAGAGCCTATAGGCTCTGTGCACAAGATGGCGTCTATCAACTTCCGGCGGCTGGGTGTGCGGCTGAGTACTTCCGGTTTGAGTACAGAGTTTTGACAGCTTGACAGTTTGTAATGTCTCCTAACCCGGGAGATAAGTTTCCATTCATTTCGGCAAGCCTGGGCAACAACGATTAAAAGATTTCTTGCTCCCAAACCAATGGTGTATTTCATTACAAAAAGCAGTTATACCATACTATGTTTAGGTACTAATGAATTATATCCTCAAAACAAACGCACACATAAATAACAAAGGAAAATACATAATTTAATAAATCCACAATATGATAACATTTTACAGATTAATTTAATAAACTTTTACAAAACATAGGTTGATGTTATATCGGGGGGAAAAATATCTGCAAAAATCTGCATATTTAAGTAATGCTAGTTTCTATAACAGATGAACAGATGTACAATATCCAGAAAGTAGATTAGCATTTCCAACATATCCTCTGAAAGAGTATTAGTCGTTGAGTTGAGTAGTGAGCCATTTTTTTTTTTTTTCGTGGTGCGATGTCTGCTGAGAAGTCCTTGTATGCCTCGCTGACTTTGAGGACAAGGTCGTGCTCCCCCCGCACGACCTTGTAACGTGTACTCCTTTGAACATGTTTATATGATCATTAGGACTTTAAGAACAATTTTACACTCAGACAACAATCACAAAGTTGTAGCAGGCTACATACAATTACTTAGGACAATAGATATTACCTTACACCGTCAGCAATTGTAAACTGCTTTGGCTTAGTGGAAATGAACACCATGTCACTCACTCTGCCTGGTTTCACACCCTATTAATTACACAAAAGAATTGTTTGAATTGATGCAACATACTAAATCAGCTCTTGGCACAAAGGAAATACTCATTAAACCGTGGATTGGTTGTGAACACATACTGTACTTACCATGGTTCTTGGCTTGGGCCATCGCTGCTCTGTTTCAGTGCAGCTGAGGACAGGGGGAACAGCAGCCAGGTTGAGTGTGGAGTAGTGTGCGGTCTGGAACAGCAGTGCAACATTGTGGTTGCAGTGTGCTGTTCCAGCTACACAGGAACACTTTGCCACTGCAACCTCCACAGGTGAGCAGTTCTCAAAACAAAATGTCAGTCATTTTACATTTAGGACACTGCTTCAATACAACACAGACAAATGAGAAAGCTGAGAGCAGGCTGATCAGGCAAGTAGTAGGTGTGGGAAAAGGCTAAACCATGTCAGGTTGTCAGTCACATCACATACACAGAAGTTCTGCTGTTTGGAATACTGTAATTTAAGGACATTCAAACAGATACGCTTGTATAGCCTCAGCTCTCTCAATTTATTATCTTATATTATAACTACATAAAATAGTGTTAGTAGAACATTGAACAGCTTAACATAGATGTAGGGTACAAAACAAGCACTTACCTAACACTGGCCAATACAAATAATTGGACCCTACATGGATTATACTAACCATTCAGTAAAGAAAAGCAGCCGTCACAACCAGTTTCTGGGGTTTCCATGAAAGCAGAGACGGTTTTCAACCTCTCATTAAGAATCTTTGATGAAAGCTAAGTTTGGGTTTAGCTAATGTATTTATCATTTTACACAGAGGGTTACAAAACGAAAATGAATCTGTAGCCCCTTCATGCTACACACACATAGCTAGCTACCAGTTGATGTGAGCACATGTATTGTCACTATGTAATCTGTTGCAACCATAGTTGCAACACGTCAGCTAGCTGGGTTTATTTGAATCCTAAATCACAGGTTACCTACTCTTGCCACATCAAAACCCCAGAACATGAACCTGATTGAGGCTTTGAACCGATTAACACTTTTTATTTGCCTCCCTACTCTGAGATCGTGAGGCTTTTCATGCTTTCTCATGGACCTGTAACAGCTAGCCCTGACGCTCACTCTCCCTGAAGGTAGATCTTTGTTTGAAACTGTGGGGAATTGGATATCATTCATATAATCCAAAAAAACGTAATAGTACATCATTACAACGCTTTACACTGTATCAAGACTGTCAATTTGTCAAAGTTAGCCAGTAACCAGTGGCGGCTGGTGGAAAATATTTTTGGTGGGGCTGTTGATATAGTGAGTAAAAAAAACGTTTTGGGGAGAAATGAGCCCTTAAAGGAGACCTATCATGCTATATTTAAATGATATAGTGTATGACCATACCTATATAAGGTATATTTATACATTTTATTTTTCAAAATACCAAACAGATCATTTTTTAGCCATGCCTCGTTTCGCTCATTTTCGCTCTTTTCCAAGCCTGTCTTTGAAAATCTGAGCAGCAGCTGACCACGCCCCCCTGCAGAAGAGCGGGGCATGAGCCGGTGAGAGTCACGTTAACATGCTTGCTGTGATTACGAGTGTGGAATAAACATGTCATCTCAGAGCAATGCATGTGTTCAAGCGTATTATCAATTTGATCCAGAGACTGACCCTGAAGCAGCGGAGGTTTTGGTGGAGGTGCAAAGATCTCGGTTGCAGCAGGACGTTTCTGAATGGTTAGTTGACAAGCTGTTGTTCCTATTTATTTTACTCCGTTACGATGATTGCTACTTATTCCGTTCATATTTTGGCTAATTAGCAAGAATGCTATGTGTACAGTTTATAACTTAGAGCTTGTAACGCAAAAACAGCGATACATATATTTATAAAGGGAGACATTCATATTTTCAGCATATATACAATGGCCTCATTGCGTTTATTAATAGTTTACAGCGCTTTTCTTCCAACATTGTGCAACAACCGTTGGAAAGTTCAATAACTTAGGGTGATAAAAAGTATAACTCCAACAACACCTCAGTTGTCAGCAGTGTGTGTAGTTTCATGTGTTTTTAAAAGCTCAGTTATTGACTTCTTTCTACAGGTGTATGTGCAAATTGCGCCACGATGCCTTCTGAACCGGAGAATGTGTGCTGCATGGCGATACCACAGGTAACATTTTTGATAGCTTCACTAAGTTGTCTGTTTAGAGAATGCATTTTTAACATGTCATTCAATATGTTTATCACACTAGGTGTCAAGACGGATGCAGGAACTTGAGGACTCTGTAACCTGTATGGTGGACCATCCTGGATTGGAGCCTGTGTGCCTGAATGTGTTCTCCCTGCAGAATGCATTGAATATTTACAGAGCTGAACATGGTGGACTACAGTTGAGGCAAATAGAGCAGTGAGTGGTTTGTTTCTTTTGACTGAAATTGTAAAACGAATGCTAATATTGTTCATGGAAATAAATACTGGTGTATATGGCTTTATGCAATCTTTCATTGTACATGTACTATTATATATATATATATATATTATTACACAGCAATGGCATAACACACCCATGTGTACGACAAAAAAAGTCCACACACAACCTTATGCTTTTGAAATCAGAATATTCTTTACCCATCCAAACATGAATAATCACGACACATTTGATATCAACTCGGAACTTTATTGTCAAAATCAACGGTTCTTTGAACCCATAAAAAAAAAACGAAATGTACTTGTATTTTGTATAAATGACACAATATATTTTTTTAATGATTGCGGGCGTCACAGGTATCTAGCCTACAGAAGCTTTGTGAGCTGGTGCTGGGGCTTCCTTGGACGCAGGATCAGAGTGGTGATTCCGGCCTGCGTTGTCCTCAGGATTCGCAGGGAGTTTCCTGATCCGCGAAATGTGTATGTTGGGTTCAGACGGCAGCCAAATTGAACCGTGTAGCATACCCGGAGATGACCTCCTCCCTGTCAGGTCGCTCATATTGGGAACACAGGTCCTCTGGGATGGGTATCTTCAGAAGCTCCTGTGTGAATGGTGCAGGGTCCACAAAGACTCTGTCGAATATGAGGTCCATCAAGTTGGCCACGTAGCCTGTGCAATATTAAAAAAAGCACAACAAAAAATGTGGTTTAGATATGCATGTAAAAAACTGAAAGTTCTTTCTAATTTTTTTATTTTATATTTGTAAATAGTTGTATAATAAATATTTTAAACACTTACGGAATGTGGGGTCAGTCTTTACTGGTTTTGCTCTGCATTCTCCCTTCCTGGCCTTTGGGAACTGCAGTTTATATAGAGGGTTTCCAGTGGATGTAGTGGCTTGTGCACGCTCAGCGTTTTCATTGTAGTGCAGGGCTGCCAGGTACAGTCTTTCATTTCCGCCATGAGGGAAAAAAAAGTAAATAATAGCAAAGAATGTACAAATTGTCACTAATTAGTAAGTAACTATGGTTTATTTTACCTGCACAACATTCCAAGAAATGGAAACACAACATTCTTTGGAGCAAAGCGCAGGATGACGGCATGGAATGACTCCAAAGATTAAGTCTGGTGGTGTGGGCTGAGTTTGGCCACAGCTTTCAAAATCCTCTTGGTTGAGAGAATTGTCTCCAGCTTGTGAAAGGCCGGCGTTCCTAAGAATTTGAAAATCAAAGTCATATTTGAATTGTCATGCTTTATAGATTGTGTCTGACAACATCCTGTATTCAATAGTTGTCCCTTACAAATATTTATAGAGGAGTAATGTAATATGGTTTATGAACAACATACCTGCAGCCATCCATTGGTATTGCGCAATGCGCAGTGGATGAAGGCACTTAGGGAACCATTTGGCCACTCTCTCAGGCCCGGTGGTGGAGGTTGCTGCAGTCCAGTATATGTGGTTTCTTATACTCTTCACCCACCCTCGAAGTTTTTCGCAGTCCTTCTTTTTTGCAGCCTTCTCCAGTTGCTTAGAAATCCCTAATAAATACATTTAACATGTAGTTAATATACATACAAGTTTACTCAAAATATTATTATATTATTATTATAGAAATTAACATAAATAAAAATACCTTTTTTATGTGCCACACATCAAAGAATTGGGTGATGCTGCTTTCCCTTAGGAATTTCTGAATTTGCAGATGTCTGTCCGTGACAATACAGTCCAGTCACACCACGTTCCTTTAACAACTCCAGACTCCTTTTCAGGCCCTCTAACGCCATGTGGTAGCTTCCACCAACCTCATTGCTCTGTTATGACACATACAAATAACCATTGATACACACATTTTAAATATAACGTGCAAACAGTGTTAAAGAAAAAAACATTGATATTTCATTTCACCCCACTTACCTGAACCAACTGGAGATCAACGACTTTGTTGTTCTTCAGGTCCATCATAGTGTAGCTTCCGAACTTTGCATAGTGGCCTGTGAAAATATGTTTTACAGTAATTACTTTTCTCTGCGGATGGTGAATTTGTATTTTTGCTTGTAGTGTTTAGCATATGTTTTTCAGGAACCATTAATTGAATAAATCACACATAGTGAAACCCCTTTCTGAAATGTAAAATGTGAATTATATAAAAAATACATACCTGGAGAGTCAGCCCATATATCACCACCAACTATCACTTTCTCCTCTGCATGGAGCTTCTGTAGCATGCCTTCCTGTGATTTTTGCCAGTAAGAAACAATCGCTGGCTCAATGAACATCCTGGCATGCCTTCAGAAGGTGTTGTATTTGCATAGCTGCATATTCATTGTTTGAAGACCTAATGGTTGAAAGAAAACCGCAAGAACACATTTTAATCTCAAAGATCACCTGTAGATTTGTTGACGAGTCGATGAGGAGAACCTGGAAAGTGCAAATGAGCTGCCCTTTTTTAAACAGGGAAAGAGCTGAACATGTCATTATTTTTATGTCATCATTTTCTCACTCTTGTTATTGTTACCTTGTCCTATCGTATTCAACAACAACATTTGCATTTTCAAACATTGGCAATACAATCTTCTGCAGTTAATTTACCTTTGAAAGTTTGTAGAAAGATGCTCTGTTGACATATGTTGCAACTGATAGCTGCAGGTTTCCAACTGGAGTACTCCCAAGAACAGGCTGGCTATTCCAGTTTCTTGTAAACTGACAATGGGGGCACAGCTGCTGCACTGATATGAATGTACCGATCCTTCTGGTTTGTACATTACACACACGCTTGCACACAGGACATGATTCAAAAAGCTCCATGAGGCAGGTCTCATACACGATGTATGTGTTGATCGTCTGGGGGGGGTTTTGTTCTTGACCACTAAAACAAAAAAATAGAAGTTAATATCCATCACACAGATTGTTGCTTTAGAGATCTTTGGTGTTTCCCTATTATCAATGTTTGAATTATATACAGCAAAAAATACAATACATAGACAAACTCACACATAGTGATATTTCAGTAACTTACGACATGGCTGTTGTTTCTGTAGCATTTGTTATGGATTCTGCTGGATCATAAGTTGCATCCTGGCCTTCGGAAATCACCAAAGAAGAGCTTCCCTCAAATGGATCTTCGTATTCCTCTTCAAGATCCACACGGGGCCTCTTTGGTGGTCTCTTTAAGGGGGTGGATGTTAAAAAGGGCACTGGCACTTCCAACGGAAGTGTTTCGACACCAACGCTTCTGCAGGGAATTTTAGCCTGGACAGCTGTAACATAATTGTATTTGACATTAAAAACAAAACAAAAGATAAAACAAAAATATTTTACAACAATTAGAAGCACACAAATTAAAGGCTACAACATCAGAATGTCAAGATGTATCCAAAGAACATTTGAAAAACGTGCTTCTAACCTGTACTTCGATGTGAACCAAGAGTCCTCTGTAGCTGATAGCTGTGTACGAACAGTACGGTACTTGGGTGGGTCAGTCTGACATGCAGAATCTGTCATCACAGGTAATCTGCTGGTAGCATGTGAGGTGCTGGCCTGTAAAGAAGAAAACAAAATCATCTCAATTTAGTATTCAGGATGAGAAAATACTATTTGGATAAATATCGTCTGAAATCCCAAAAGATGGGGGCTAAAACTCTCTATTTAGCAAAGCTCTTTGCTTAGCCTTTTCCAATCTGAGTTAGTTTTGAACCGTAACGTGCATGCTGTGTTTCTGACTCAATACAGATGATGTGTTGGAGAGGGGCTGAGCTCAGTAGACTGACTGTAATGAGTGCTAGCCACTAATTAGCCTGTTGCTAGGTAAGGCCTCGTCAACAACAACAGACCAACGGGGCTTTAGTTCTGTTTTACTCATGGTGTGTGTCCCCCCTCACATACATACACACAGTGTTGTATCCTAACACATCCACATTTATATTCATGTGCGTAAACAAGTAAACATACAAAAGCTTTTACATATAACGCTGGAAAAAACGGCATGTCTCATTAGCGTAGCGTAGCTTAGCTTACAGATCTGATCGTTCTTACAGACTACAATCACAAAAGCTTTTACATATAATGCTGGAAAAAACGGCACTTACCTACAGAAGATTACGTTTGTTATTATAACTTACTCAATATGATTTTAGAGGATACAAAATACTAATAAATAGGAGAATAAATACTTGTGTTATCGGCTAGGGCGTGGCTTTACAGCCTTCACACAGATCGCCATTACGGCAGTATGTCTGAACATGTTAGCAAATGCCTGATAATTAAAATAAAAGACAAAGCAAAGACTGCGGAGCGTACAATATAAAATGTTATAAAAACATATAAACACCTAACCGATTACTATTTGGGTTTGAAGCGACATTGATACGGCGAAGCTACATGCTACATACTACATACTACAAGCTAGAGATAGCTTTATCAGGAAAAACACCGCTAAATAAAAACTTACAGCTTCAAAATTGGATGTGTCCTCACTGGCCTGCTCCCGGATGGTTGGTATTGATCCCGGGTTTAGCATTAGCTTGGAGGCATATCCGTGTTGGACTTGAGAGAAGTTCATAAACATGTCCGTGGTAAAATGTTTGGAACACACAAACAGAAATCTGCCGTGGTCTTCTGGCACATGTCCCTTGAAAATGAAGTCTAGCCACAGATTATTTTCTTTTTCCACTGATGGCATTGCATGCAGTCCCCTGTCCCGAGTCTTGCAGCCAACAACAGCACAAAGTTTAACTCGCTTAGACATCCTGGCAAGAGCAGACAAAAACACAGATGTGACTGGAGTTGATTTACCCTGCCGATAGCCTATATGCGAATGAGAGGTTTGGCAATGCACGTGGCCGTGGCTCATTCCCCTGATAGGTGGAGAGTTGACCAATAAGCGGAGCACGTCTCTTTTTCAGATCCGTTTCAGCCACTTTTTTAGAGATTTGGCGAAGGAGGAAAATAGAGAGGGTTGTGTTTTCTGACACTTGGTGAGTTCCCTGGAACACCGGGGACACATATTCATGTATAAAAGACGTCCAAAGGTGCATTTTGCATGATAGGTCCCCTTTAAATTAGGACTTCTGGTGATGTAATGGCGCGTTTCCAGTGCAGCGCGGAGCTCGCTTTAATGCTGCGTTCAGACCGGACGTGATGCGAATATTCGCTTCGCTCTAAACGCTCCTATCGCATTGCTCTAGTCGCTCGAGTTTCACAGCGGCTGCCAGCTGTGTTTACTCACATCATTCAAACAAGACGCGCTCGGGAGCTATAACTACAACAAAATGAACATATTTTACCGTGATTAAATTGTAATACACGTTTCTAAATGATGCCGACGTAACAACATACTGATACCGGTTAGTAAAAACCATGAATTAATGCTTTGACAAGTCTGAAGACAGACGGCAGGCAAAAAACCTTTTAGAATGCTTGTTTTCTGAATGGAGCTTGGCTAAGCTAACGTTATATATGCGCCGACCGTCCACACTCACAACAACGGTCTATACAGACATAAATAAACCAGCGACTGTAGTCTCCATGACACAGACAGTCTGTGGTTTGTACTTGTTTAACTTTTGTCTAGTTTCTGAACAGATCGTATCTGTCCCTGGCTGTTTGAAGAGCAAGCATGGGAAACAAAAGACAGCATTTACCTGTTTGCATCCAGCTAGCCATGCCTTTCTGGTGTACCAGCTACGAAGCCTCGTTGATACGTTTTGTCTTTTTCACGAGTTTGCTGCGATATATACAAATCGGGTTGTTCCGGTCCAAGGTCTTTAAGCAACAGTTTATCTCCAAAACTTCTCCTTTCGAAAGGATTGGAGATTAGCTCTTGAACGGAATTGGGCGGGGACCGAGGTCCGGCGACTCCACCTGCACACAAAGCCATTCTCATCCAACTCATCCGATCCAACACCTTGGTCACTCACGAGTCTAAAAAACAACTCACGTCAACGCACGTAAGCAACGTGGGCGCCAACGTGAGCGCCATCGTGACCAAAATATTTGACGCCGCTGATTGGCTGAAATTATGTTTCGGCGGCACAGTTTACTATTGAGACTTTTGCAACGTGCTGGTTGCTGCTGTTTGGCTCGGGGGCTCCTTGCACGGCGCCTGGTAATGATAAACTAATGCCACGGGCAAGGCCAGGCAGGAAACAATTTTAAACGAGATTTTATTGTAGATTATACATGTTACTGATACCAATTGTATGATATTTACCTTGTTCATTAAAAATAAAAATATAAAATATATATTTTTTTTAAATATTTTTTTTAAATATATATTTTTTAATTTAATATATTTTTTTATATATTTTTTTGTATGTGGGAAGAGGTGGGGCGGTGCCCCTAGCGCCCCTATGGGCCGGCCGCCACTGCCAGTAACTACAGCTTTGTTTGTCACTTACCTTCATAATTGTCGACGTAGCTGGAATGTAGCTACATCTTGAACCCCTTTTCTCTTTTGCTCCCCGGGGCTGAGCCTGCCGCTTGTACCAGCCGATGAATATCACTGATGTTAACCTTCGGTAGGTCTTGGAGACATCGAGTGTAAAATAGTGCCTATATAATATCTATACGCTATCTATCGCTCTTCCCTCTACCGCTCTA